CACATTCCATGTTCAAGTCACTAGTGTCTGATGCTGTTCCTCTTCCTATGTGTTTCCATACCTGAGGGCTTAGTCTCAGTTGCTATATCTGTTAGTCTAAGTGTGCTCTATTGTACGCAGGGTTTTTGAAGCCCTGCTATTTCAGAAGTGAATGACCAATCCTTCTTCCTAGTCTGTCTTAATTTGAATGCTCAGATTTTGAACATTATATGACAGACAAGCCTTCAATATGCATTGAAGCTCAACTTCAAGAAAACAAAGATTCTCACCACTGGGCTGATTGTCAACATCATGATAGATGGGAAAGAAACTGAGAATTGTTAACAGCTTTAATTTGCTTGGCTCCACAATCAACACTCTTGGTACCAACAGCCAGGAAATCAAAAGACAAATTTCGTTGGGAAAGTCTTCTGTCAGACACCTCTTCAAAGTACTGAAGAGCAACTGTGTCAGTTTAGAGACTAAGGTGTGCCTGATCCAGGCCATGATCCTTGCAATTACTTGCTATGCATCAGAAAGCTGGACAGTGATTAGGGATGATAGAAGGAGAATTGATACCTTTGAGCTGTGGTGCTGGAGAAGAGTGTTGAATATACCATGGACTGCTAGGAGAACAAACAAGTTCTGGAGCATCATCTGACATACTTTGGACATGTTGCAAGGTGGGACTGGTCCTTGGAGAGGGACGTCATGCTTGGGAGGGTAGAGGGACAGTGCAAGAAGAGAAGAAGACCCTTGATGAAATGAATTAGTTCAGTGACTGGGGTAATGGGGGTAGATGTGTCAGAGACAATAAGATTGGCACAGGCTAGAGCAGGTTTTAGGGTGACGCGATGGCACATAACAACAACAACATCTAAGTAGCAGTATGCCATGACCACTTCATACGGTCTTCTACTATTGTAATGACATATTGGCCTGAAATTGCTTTGCAAACTGCAAGGTGCCTTGCAGTCTAATGTAAAAAACAAATAGAAACAAGGCACCCATTTTATTAAAAATTTATTGCCATTTTCTGATAATCCTTATAGGCAGACAAAAATGCAATGAAAAGATCATGATTTTTATCATGAAAATATAAAGAAAAAAACCCATTGATAAAAGGAGGAACCATAAAAGGTACAATAAAGGCAATGCAACATTTTCTGTGTAAGTTTTCTTTAAAGCCTATTCCCCCAAAGTTGAGTAGATTCAATCAAATTTTGTTGGGAAGAAATATATGTCTCTTAAATATCCTCAAGGAAAGACTTTTTCACTCAAATTGGTCTCTGTCCACATACTAGCAAGAGCGTTTAAAGAAATACAAGCCAAGGGGGGAAAAAGGAATACAAAACCATTCTTCAGTGATCAGTGGGAAGGTCACGGGATTATCATAGTAAGTTTTTCCAAACCATTCTCAATCTTCCCCTATACCCGTGAGTCATTGCCTTCCCTATCATAGGCTCATTTTTATGAAATAAGAGATGCATGTATGTTTATGTTTAGTAAGGATGTTGTTGTTGTGGTTGTGGTTGTGTACTGTTGAGTCAGTACCAACCCATAGCTGACCCTCCAACGGGTTTTCAGAGATAGTTAATCACACGGGAGGAGGAGCAGCTGGTGGATTTGAACCACATGCACTCAGGATCGCAGGGCAGCTTCTTGCCGCCTGACCACCAGAGACCCCTACAGTAAGGATGGATCTATTAATTTGGTCAGAGGCAAATTAATTCTAAAATTAATTCAAAACTAATTATAAAAAAGCATACAAATATTTCCCAATTTTTTTTCTAATTGTTAATCAAAGACCTTGAACTCAGAACAATCCTAAATTGCTAATCACACATTTGAAGACCATTTAATAATTGATGCTATCTGATGTTTTAGCAAATTTAAAGCAGGTCTCACAAAATCTGAATAACCCTTTTTTAATATTTTAATTTTTTTTTTTTTGGTGGTGATAGAAGTGGACTTCAGTGCCTAGATATGAAGCTTGTAACCTACTAATATTATCTTATAGACCTCATTTTCTTCAGAACTCAAGGCTGGTGGCTTTGGGAATTCAGGAAATAATGATTATTATTAAAAGTTGCTTACAGTGATAAAATATGACTCTGGGGGACATTTTGTTTTTATGGTATAGGAGACTATTCTTTTTTGGAACTCACAGAAGATAAAAATGTGAATTAAATAGACATTAAATACCTTCCCAAGAGAGACTGCAGGCCTGATTTTATGGAGATTTTTATTTTGTGTTTTGCAATGTATAGCGAACTGCAAAAACATTAATAATACAAAATCAGTTTGAATACAAATGAATCCCTACAAGGCCAGTTTCGATTATTAATGGAATTCATTATCTGCCCGCAGTTACTGTGACTTAGAATAACAGTTAATAATAAAAGACTGAGGAAACTTTGGAAAAAAAAATCACATTTAATAATACAAATTAATTCTACCATTAAAAACAGCAGAGGGAAATTAGTATGAAAACAATGCTTTCTCTCCTCTTCCCTGGTCAGAAAGAAAATCTCCTCTGAATGCATCTTATTTTTATTTTCCAAACTCCTGAAAAGAGACATGTATGTTTCAGAAGAGCTGTCAATTTTCCAGAATTAAACTTAGTTTCTTGATGTTGTCCGAGTTATTTTCAGTTTAAACAATGGGAGGTTGAACACACGACTGGGACAACTCTTTGAGACCAGCCCCTTGACAAGGATCTCAAAATTGCTTTGAAGCATGCAACACTCAGCCTTCTTTCAGAGTTTCAGTGGTTACCTGCCTTTACAGAAAGAGCACTTCACAGCCCAGTGGTTTTCAAACTGCCTTAGATGTAGTCACTTTCTGAGTATAAAGTGGAGCAAAGCTGAGCTATTAGGTTAAAGAGGAAGGACATAGAACTAAAGGCATATCTCTAGTGCCCTTGCCACACAGGAAGACTGAAGAATTTCCCAGAAGCCTCTAGCTTCAATGCAGAGCAGTTTGAAAGCCAACATCTTAAGAAAATAGGTTTTGTGTACAATAATAAAATTAATCCATGTAACCTTCACAGGTTTCTCTATTAATTATTTCATATTCCTTTGAGTTGTTTTCCCCTCTAAATCTGACTTATTTTATTGTTGTTGGGTCTATACATAGCAAAACATATACCAAGTTAACATCTTATACATGTGCTATTTAGTGAAAGTAGTTACATTCTTTGTGATATACAGTCATTTGCAACATCTTCATGAGCATAAATTCATTGACCCCTAAGGTAATTATATAATCTTTCAAGTTGGTTTGTTAATTTGATCCCCTATAAATAGTGAGTTTAATAACCACAGCAGATATACTTTAATAGCTAAATTAAGCTATGTTGTTGTTTTGTTACTGTATGTTGTTGAGTTGCTTGCAACTGGTAGTGACCTTATGCACATTAGCTCTGAACCTTGCCCTATCCAGAGCAAATCTCACTGACTCCAACACACCTAACCCCATTTCCCCAGTCTATATCAGTCACTCTCATTGGTGGTCTTCCTTTTCTGCACTGTCCCTCCACTTTTCCAAGCATGATGTCCTTCTCTAACGATGGGTCTTTCCTTGCTTCATGCCCAACATATGTGAGATGAAGTTTCAAAATCCTAGACTTCAAGGAGAAACTTGGTTTCACCCTCTCCAATACAGACTTCAGGGTATATGTTTTGGTTTAAGGCATAATTATTTACTTAAGGCAATACTAACAGATACAGCCCTGGACATGCTCACTAGTTTAAGCCAGAAAATTTGGAGGATAGCTACTCGGCCAGCTGACTGAAGGAGATCTATATTTGTTCTTATATCCAAGAAAGTTGATGCAACAGAATGTGGAAATTATCGAACAATATCATTGTATCATACGCATGTAAGATATTGCTGAAGGTCATCCAAGAATAGCTAGAACAGAGCATTGAGAGATAACTGCCAGAAATTCAAGCTGGATTTAGAAGAGGCCACGCCTCCGAGAATATTACTGCTGCTGTCAGATGGATCCTGGCTGAGAGCAGAGAACACTGGAAGGATGTTTATTTGTGTTTTGTTGGTATTTGACAGCATGGATTTTAACAATTTATGGTTAACATGCCAAAGAATGAGAATCTCATAACACTTAACTATGCTCATACAAAAAATATTCCTAGCCAAGAAGCTGTCCAAACAAAGTTAGGGAACTCTAAATGGTGTAACTTAAGAAAGGTGTGTGTCTGGGCAGTCTCCTCTCCTAGACCTAATTTTTCCTTATAACAACCCTATATCAGCTTTTTTGGCTGCAGTCTTTATAGAATCAGATAATTGAGATCTTTCTCTTAGGGAGAGACTAGTAAATAAAGTACCAGGCTTTCAGTTAGAAGCCAAATGTTTAACTCTTTGTGCTATCAGGACTCCTTTATCGGGGGCATTCACTAGGAAACTCTGGTGATGTGGTCCATAGAAAGCTTGGATGCTAAGCAAAAAACTGCACATCTCTGGTGGTTCAACTTTACCAGTGGCTTTTTGTGAGCAAGATGAATAATCTCTTACCATTTCAATTTGCAACCTCAGAAACCCAATGGACAGTCCAAAGTAACTCAGGGGCAGTAAAGGAGTGAAGTAGGCATTGAATAAATGTTGCTATTTCAGAAAGTGTCTGTGTTTTTATTAGGAAGAAAAGGAGAGGGGAAAGTGGGGAGGGCAGAGGAAGAAAGGAGAAATGAAAGGAAGAACTTTAGTTGTACAAATGGCTTTAAAAATCCAAAGTTTGCAAAAATGACTTCCATTGTGATGTCTCTTAAGTAGTTTTAAATTCAATCGGCAAATATAAATTACTCCATCTCCAATCTGCCCCACATTATTACCTTCCTTTCAATGTTTAATTTCCAGTAAAGTTGTTGAGAACTGCATATCATTTGCTTACTGTTGACTATCTGTATTTTCTTCTCCAGTGCAGAACTGTAGATAATAGACTAGGCCCGTTCAAGGTGAAGTGGCATGGTGATTTGACAATAGAATGTTGTCTGTCATTGCAGGACGAGTCCACTCCAGCTGACAAACAGTGTAAGCCGGAGGCAGCCCAGACCACTTACTCCACACCAGCTGTTTCAAGCTCTCAGGAGGTGTTGTACATCAATGGAAATGGGACCTACAGTTACCATAGTTACAGAGGGCTAGGAGGGGGACTGCTAAATCTGAATGATGCTGCCAGTAGTGGTGAGTTTTTATACAGATTCTGTTTTTATGTCCATTTGGAGGTGGTCAATTTGCTAAGCCGAAAAGAAGAAAATAGATTTATTGTTATAAGCAATTGTTGGTGCCAGCCTGCCAAAACCACAATGATTTAATGCATAATGACTCTCTTAGCACATGGATGACTGCATTTTTTGTTGCTGTTTTTGAAAGTAACAGCACTATTATACAACTGAAGGATTGCTGTTTTATTATTCAATGAGGTCTCAACTAAGAGGTATAGATTATTTTTTTCAAATGGTGACACATTCTAACCCCAAAGCTGTTATTTATTTTCATCAAAAGTAATTATACTTGTTTTTGTCAGTGCTCAAAGAAAGAGGTTTTGATTTGGAAAAGTTGAGTCGTCAGAAACTTTACTGACTTGATAAGCGTTCACAGGTATTAGAACTAAAAACATACCTTATAAAACAAGACATCGAATCAACCCAGTGGGTCTCCAATCAATAGCTTATCTCTGATAATACATGTTTTATAAGCAGTGGGTGATGTGCCAGGGCAAGATTAATTTGGAATAATATAGAGGTCTCAATGTGAAAAATATGATCACAAGTATATTTTGAAACAATAAAAAAGTCTGTAAATTCCTTATAATTGGATTCTGGCAAAAGCTTTCCTAAGTATACTTTAAAACCCAAGCATAATAAGGGGCAAATGACAAATTTCATTACCACACATGCATACACACATTTCCACAGCAAAAAATTAGTGTAAGCAAAGCTAAAAAAAATTGCAACTAGAAAATATTAGCAACCTCTATTACAGAGAATTAGGATACAGTACATGAAAGGCTTCAACAAATAAAGAAACTTAAACAAAAACTGTAGTCTTTGAAGATAGAAGTAGCTACACAGAATTGCCAGATAAGGCAAAGAAAATGCCCTACATACACATGAAAAACTGCTCAGCTACACTCATTTCTGATAAAAGAGATGCATTGTCTGCATATCAGATTAGCACAAATCCAAGTGATAAACAGAATATGTGTTTGACAAAACTGTCTGGAAACAAGCTCCTTTGTACATTTATGAAAAATCCAAGACGGTACAATTCTTATAGAGTAAGATTTGAAAAAAAAATACTTTGTAATATTAAATAAGGGAGCTCTGGTGGCCTAGTAGTAAGAAAATGCGCTGCACTCCCCAAGGCATTCAGTTCAAACCTGGCAGCTGCTCCAAGGTAGAAAGATGGACAGTCTCCTCCCGTGCAATTCATTGCTTCTGAAAAGCCTTCAGAAGATCAGATATGGGTCAGTTCCAACTCAGTAGCACACAACAACAATAACAGCATTATTAAATGTGCATTTACCTTTTAACCCAGCAATTTCCAAGAATCTATGTCAAACACAAACTGACAAGTTTACAAAAAGATATGCACATATACAAAAGTAGTGTTCTTTATAAATGCTCAAAGGAATTAAAGTAAAATTGCCCATGAGTGACTGATTAGATTTATGCTTCATTTAAATAATAGAAATTAAAAGAAACAATTTAAGTGTGCATCTTTAAAAGTTAATGGTGAAATGGAAAAGATCTGGTGTGAAAAACAATGTATATAAAGTTTGTAAGTAAACCAATAAAAAAATAAAAATTTTGTTTAAATGAAAAAGGAAAATATAATGAAAATTATATATATGTATATGAGAAGAGTATTGAATGTACCATGTACTGCCAAGAAAACAAACAGATTCATCCTGGAGAGGATTAAACCAAGCAACTCCTTGGAGGCAAGGATTCTGGGGCTTCGTCTGACATACTTTGG